ATAAATGATATGAATATAAATATAGACATGTAAATACATGTAAATATTTTCAAAATATGTACTGTATGTGTGTGTATTTATATATACATACTAAATATACACAGAACACACACATATATTATGCAAAAAAAAAAAATTATTTTGGATGCGTTTGACAGCACTAATATAAATATTTAATATATAAATATAAAAATTTTCTTAAATATATGCACGTGTTTGTATTTATATATACATAACAAATATACACAGTATACACACATATTATGTAAACAAAAACTTTTATTTTGGATGCGATTATTTGCGATTAATTGTTTGATAGCACTAAAACGTAAACTTTTATTTTGAATGCGATTAATTGTTTTGCAGCCCTAGTTTTCAGTGCCAATTTACTAATTTGGGACCAGGTATTTAGGATAAACCCATTCCTAGATTACAAATAAGAACAGTTCTTAGCCAGAATAAGCACCAAAGTGGACCGGATTTTATGGCGGAAATCATTAATTTATTAACACCCATACAGAATTACAGAAAGCAGACCTTTTAGTACCACAGAGCACAAAAGATATAAACCCTACTAAAATGCATTTCTGATTAAATATGCATGATCCAAGTGATTATATAACACACAGTAGCATTAAAGGATTACATTTTCTTTGCAACTATATCGTGTGAAACATTAAAAAGAAATGTACATTCATACCTCACGAAAGCGCAGCCCTCATGATCCCTGTACAATGAGTCATCCTCATTTGTCAGGTGGGCAAGGCGATCTTCCTTACGATGCAAGACTGAACATCCCCCTTAAGAAAGAGAAAACAAGACATCCATTACGATGCAATCAATACACTGCTATTTATTTAAAAGCAATTTAATTAAGATTTAAGAAGCTTGTTTGAAACATTTCCTGGAATCTTCAGACAAGTTTGGCGTATTTACTGTCAATTAGTCCATTCCTATTTCAAGATGTTTTGTATACTATGATCATTTAAGCTTATGGATGCTTTTTCCTCCCTCTTGGTCTCGTAAGTGGAAATCCAAAAGACCAAAACCATTAATGCCTTGATGCATCGCAATCAAATTAAGAGCTGACTCATTCAAGAGGCTGATGGCGTATGGGTGGAAGCTACAAACGCACACGCAATCACAGGGCTGGATGGTATGACGTGTAATGAAATATAATTTTGCAATATATATTTGGGTGGCCATCAGTAGACAGAGCTTCGAGAAGAATTAAGAAACCATGACTCGAATGTGGCTCATCCAATTAGAGTTTGCCTGGCAGGCCAAAAAAAAAAAAAAAATCCCATAGACTTACATTAGGCCATATATAGAAAATATGATGTCTTTATAGTATTACACTATTTTTCCTTAGACAGTATAAATGGCTCTGTATATATGAAAATATATGTCTGCCTTCAGAGGAGATTTTAGAAAGATGGTCGCTCACAAGGGGATCATCATCATGTTCTAAGAAATCATATTCCCGCCTAGCAGATGCTAAAATTAAAAAAATCCCATAGACTTACATTGAGCCATATATAGGGACCAAATCATCATAGAGGCTTGTGGCTGGGCTGGTAGTAAAGTAGCCACCCAGAACACCCCAGCAAACACAAAGCAACACCCTGGTAACGATCTATTACACCCTAGCATTTTTCACAATAACTTGTGTTTTTAGGTTGGCGTGTGCCAACATGATTTAGACGCCCATCGCTTTCCCACAGACTACTGAAACAAAGCAAATGTAGTCAGCAAGGATTAGACATGTGTGATGTAAAGCACTTATCCAGGAGCACTAATTTTTTCCTTTGGAATCTGATAAGTCATTAAACAAGAAGCAGAATGCTGATTTTAAGACACAGATCCATTCTCTTAATTTGGTAAAACAAGTCCAAAGCAAAAAAAAAGGGCTGCATTATGTAGACACAGCATCTTTTCAGATTCATAACAGTTCTGCAAGGGCTGGTGGTGACCTGATTTTAGCTTGTCTAAGCAGATGGTGGGGGAGAGTGTAGGTGGTTTAGCTCGTTCTCCCCTCAACCCCCATTTCAGCAATGGCGTTCCTCGCTTTTATTCAGTAAAGATCTGGTTTAGTGGCAAGGATGCATGATCACCAAGAGCACATTTGGGAGTCCACAGCCACACTGGCACACATTTACCAGTGTTAAGTTTTTTGTTCCATTAAATAAGTGTAAACTGCCTGAAATTTTGGATCATGTATTGGATGACAGGTCTGACAAACCCCTAAATTAAAGTATGAGACTATGTATATTAAAATATCAGTTGTTTTGCTGATGCAAAATGGTGGTATGTTTCTGCATCAAAAATCTATACACATGACAATCCTGTCTCTTAGCATATAAAATTGGATAATGTAAGGGTTAAATGTACAGATGCAGTCATTTAAACAATATGCATATTGATCATAAGTAGCAGCTGAACATTACAGACAGCCATGAATATGAATACAATGTCATGCTGGATTCAGACAGACAGGCTAACTGTACTTCTGCCAAAATACATAGATACAGCAATGAACCAGACAGGACAGCTGCAAACATCTGTACAGCTATTAAACCAACTGGCGATGTAAAAAAGCTTCTGCCAGCCTGTAACACACGTGTTTGAGCGAGTAACGTTAGGCGCTTAGCATTAGCCAGCTCGCTAAAGGTGCTGTACAAAAACAACCAACATAATCATCACAACCACGTGCCTTCCTTACTGCGTTCGTGGTTTTTTTGTGTATAAAAAGGAGCGAATGTCTTAAAATTTATTTTTTCACAGTAAAATTACATTTAAAGTGTATGCATTGATGCTAAGAAGCTAGCGTGGCTAACTAGCATGAAATCCAACTAACGTTAGCTGACGCACGCCGAAAGAGTAGCTTTGGTCTAATTACACCACACGTCCTTAAATGTCACATTACAAATAGCCACTACTAAAACCCCTGTAAATGTAATTTAAATACTGTTCTGATCAAAACAGTTGTGTTCATTATTGCCTCCAGTTTGTGCTACTATCCGGTAATTTTACAAGTCGACATAAATAAAGCGTTGAAACTCACTCAGCAGGACTGTAATGCCTGTTCCCGTAGATCGCGGTATTCCTCCCAGGCTTAATGTGATTTCTGGATTTAAAGCCTGTGATATTTGCAGTGATCTGAGAGATGGCTGATTTCTCTTCCTGAGCCGAGCGGATGAAGTCTGACGGAATCTGCTGCTGCGCCTACAGGACAGAGTGTGTGTGGAGGAGCAATTATACCTGATTTACTCTTATATTACATGCATAATAATCTAAGAACGTGTATATATATATATATATATATATATATATATATGTCCTATGCAGGAATTATTTAAAAATATCTATCTATCTAAGTAGGGCTGCAGCGGGCCTATACTTTAATGTATTTGACAGGATGAGAGTGAGAATGTGTTGAATTTACATCACATAGTCATGAGGTAAACCAAGCTGATCAATGCCTTCCCGTCGTGTGATCTGCGATAGGCTTAAAGCTGCCTGCTGGTGAAACATTAACCTCCTCTTCATAAAACAATGCGCCATGCCTCATGCTTAAACACTAGGATACTGGGAGGATAAAATACTGGAAATCATGTAACGGGATTAAGAGACTGCAAAAAAATCGAGAGAGAGCAAGCGCAAATCCTGGCAGCGGCAGGTCGCAGCGCCACTTCCGGTGGCATCCCCAGCTGCCACTGGCAGCTGCCAGAGTTCGTGGCAGCTGCCACTAGTCGTTTCTGGCAGCTGCCACGGTCTTTCTCGCCGTAAAACTACACTGTTCTCAGTGGCGTGCGGTGATGTTTTTTTTTAAATGATGATGCAAAGTTTCCACAATTGTATTATTATTATTATTATTATACATTTTTATGTATCAGTTGCCAGGGTTCTTGCCAGGAGTCAAAGGCAGCTGCCAGAGTTCGTGGCAGCTGCCACTAGTCGTTTCTGGCAACTGCCACGGCCTTTCTCGCCGTTTCTGCTGTTTGCTCGGTAAAACTACACTGTACTCAGTGGCGTGCGCTGATGTTTTTTTTTAAATGATGATGCAAAGTTCCCACAATTTTATTATTATTATACTGTACATTTTTATGTATCAGTTGCCATAGTTCTTGCCAGGAGCCACCAACTGATGTTCAGCTGAACATCAGAACATTAGCCTAGACAGAAGACATAATACAGCGACTGGAACAAATCATATCTGTGCCTGGAACTGCAGCTGAGAAGCAGATGTTTCTAACAGAAGTGATTTTGCCTGAGGTGAGCTATAGAGATGTGTACTAAATTAACAATTAGAATAGGAATTTCATTTAAAGCAAAGAAATTGATAAGCAAGTGATGGCTTTGAGGCCTCTTGCCAGAGAGAGCGCCAGTCCCTGCTGAAAAAATCATGGGCGGACAGACAATCTGGTAAAGAGTTGATTAGAGTTAAAGCATAAATTCTTTAAGATGGCATTTTGGAGTCTTTAAGTACTTTGCTTGACTTTGCAATGTGCTTTCTGTACGCTTTTGATTTAAGAGTCTTTATCTAACGTTTTTATTACTATATATTGATCAAATGTTGCTCTTTCATAGCTCTGAATGTTTCTTACGTTTCTGAAATACAATGCAATACTCTGCTAGATATACCTGCTTTTGAATGCAGCTGTTGGTATCTTGGGGAATTTTGTTGAGATTTATTCTAAACTGTAGGAGAAACCTATGAGAGTATTAGGATTATTTACTCAGAGGAATAATCCGAGAAGCAGGAAACGAGTAAAAGTCTCAATTTTGTCTCCCTTAAACCTCATTCCATCTAGAATGAACATGAGAGATATTATAGAGCCCTCACTCATGATTTTTACAGTATGGATTGTAATTTATTTTTACCAACTGCAATATGGATTTATTTATAAATGCCTATTGAATTATTCTTGTTTTATTAAAATTGTGTTATATTGATTGCTGAGGCCCACATGCTAAAATAATTCATATTTATTGGTATACTTTCCCTAAGGACGAATCTGAGTTTCAATCTTCTGCTCTACCACTGTATGATTTCTGTGATGAAACCAGCCATACTTGTACTGGCAACACATGTCCAGGTCAACAAGCTCAGAAAGTCGAATGAAAGCACACAAGTCAAATCTACACAGGAACACTTAGAGGAAGCTTTTGAAGAGCAGGTACATTTGGATGATTCTATTCTTTGGACGAGTCAAATCATAACGTTTAAGTAAGCAATGATTGCTTTTGTTTCTTGTCTTTAAGAATCGACAGTGACTATTGAGATTTACTCGTCCCTACATGTCTAGTAAAGTAGATCTGCCACATTCCTTGAGGGATTTTTCAAAACATTAAGAGATCAAGTGCTTTTTGCTTGAGGGTTACATTGAGTGCAAAAAATCTTATCAACAGTGACTGATGCAATCACTCAAATTTAACTAGGTTAGAGTTGTGGTTTCAGTACGTATGTTGAAATTCATGGATTGGAGTTACGGTTGCATACTAAGTTTATGTCACTATCATAAAGACATTGACATGTGTGAACCCTGAAAATAATGTCTGTTGGTAAAATAGTCAGATTTAATCTTCTTCCAAGGGCTACTACTTGCAACGCCTATTTCTTCAGTATGGGGACAATGGGACTTTGACCTATGAGGGTCTGCAGAAGTTGCTTGGCAGTTTAGGTCTTGGGGAGGTCAGTGTCCTGGAGATCCGACATGGTGGAGTGAAGCATTCTTCTCAACCCCAATCCCATTCCCACTCACATGAAGACCATCATCATCCTCAAAGGACCACAAACTCACCTCCACTCAAAGAAAGGTAATATGGCTAAAGCATTATTGTAATATTCTCTACTCTTTAAATTTACAGTCTTTTTTTACACTTACTGTGGTTATTGACTATAAAGTCAGCTTTTTAAAATGTAACCTTTTATTATTCCCACAAAACCAGAGTTGAATTCCCCTGTATTTGATCTGGTTATTGTTTATATAATTCAAATATAGTTTTATGCTCATTCCAATGACTAATCCATTAAAATATTCTATCCTAGACCTCACATTAAGTCAGTGCTCAGTGGATCTCCTGCAGAATGGGGTCACTCAGACTATTTTCCACACCCTGGTCTAAGACACAAACTGGAAGAAAGTGTGCCACCGCTGTCAGACCATCCGACAGAGAAACACCTTCATGGGAATGTGAGTATTTACTCCTAAACTTCCTGTTAGTGTTACAAATGGACAAAGTCTACCACTGAATTCTCTTCACTATCACCTGACCAAAGGTCTGTTGATATCTTGAGGTGTGCAGACAGTAAAATTCAATTCATTCTTCCTGTGTGAGGTACACAAACTATTTTGGAGAGAGATAATCATGTTAGAGGTCTCTGCTGAGAGGACTGGTTTAAGCTGGTTAGTGCTGGTTTAGATGGTGGGCCAGAATATGATATAATGCTGTATATCTGCAAAACTCTGGAAAACGTTTGCAAAGCTGGTTGACCATCACGAATCTTCTGGTGATGCTGGTTGATCAGATTATGCTGGTTAAACTACTCAAGAAGCCTTCTTGGACTACCAGCATACAAACATGCTCAACTGTGGATTAACATCTACATCACAATATATGCAATATGTAAACACATAGGCCTATGTAAGTATGGAAGCCTTTTTCTTTGAAATTATGAGATACTAAATCATAATTATGAGATAAAAAAGTCAAAATGATAAAATATCTAGTCATAATTCAAAAAGTCAAAATTATGAGAAAAAGTTATTATTATGAGATAATAGTCATAATTGTAACATAAAAAGTCAAAAGTGATATAAAACATCAAAATGATGGGCTAAAATGTCATAATTACGGACTAAAAAGCCATAATTATTACATAGCACAGTTATGAGATACAATCAAAATTATGAGTTAAAATCATAGTAATTATTATATTATTATATAATCTAAAAGTCAAAATTATGTAAAAAAAGAAAAAAAAAAGTAATGCTATAAAACATCAAAATTATGAGTTAAAATATACATAAGTCAGAAATATGTCAGAAGTATCTGGAATTGTGACAAAAAGTCAAAATTATGAGAAAAACAATTGACAAGTTTGAAATCATGAAATAAAAATGATAAGATAAGAAGTCATAATTATGACATGAAAAATTTTGCCATATAATGACTTTTTATGTTACAATTTTGACTTTTTAATCACATAATTATGATATAGTATACCAAAATGTTAACTTTTTACCTCATAATTTCAACTTTTGTAGTAATACAGTAAAGTCAGGCCTCATAACAGCAAAATAAATCAGTATAATTTTGCCTGTATATTATTGTAAATTGTTCAATAAGGAAATAAACAGTCCATTACAATGCACAAAAGTGACATGACCACTGCAACGTTACAGTAATATTAAAACTTAAAGTCCTCTGAGGTCATTTTCACTACTGCTGATAACTGATACAGAACATGGCATCAGTTGTGTTTGTAGAAAACAAGAGAAAGTGAGTCTGCGGTGTGATATGAGAGACATGGAAGTAGGGCAAGCTTTGAATGACCAATCATAATCAAGTATTTCAGAGAGCCATGTAATAATGTTGAATCTGACTCTCATCTCATATTTCTTTCTCCCTTATTGCAGTGTCTAAATGTTACCCAGCTCCTGTGGAACTTCGGGTTAGGCCAAGCGTCCCATATCACTCCTGCCCATTTCACCTTCCTGTGTCCTGCCCTCCTGTACCAGATCGTCAGCGGAGTGTGTCTACGGCACACAGAGGAGCAGTCCCAGGGAAGCAAAACCAGCGAGGGTTTCCTGAGAGGTGTGTGTACACGGTTTCTGTCAAGTGTGATATCAGAATCAATTTTGTGTTTGTTTTCATGATAGTGCAGGTTAAAAAAAGTCATTGTATCTCAGCACTAGGATGGGCCTCCTTGGCACTCTTTGTTATCAGTTTGCCTTCCCTGGTTGCCCTGGGACTGGCACCCCTGCTTCAACCTTCCATCCTTCAAATATTCCTCTGCCCGATGGCTGGCATGGCAGTGGGCACGTTATGCGGAGATGCCCTCCTGCACCTCCTGCCCCATGTAAGAAGCAAAATACAAAATTAAGCATAATAAGCATAATAAAGTTGACCTTGACCTTCTGTAATACAGATGCTACAGATGTATATTATTTGTGATTACAGGCCATCTTCAGTCAGCACATTGAACATCAGGATGCTGTTTTCAAGGGTCTGAGCGTGTTGGGAGGACTTTACCTTCTGTTTGCCTTTGAGAGCCTTCTGGGACTTAAACAGCATTTCAAGGCAAGTTTCATCCAGTGGGACTTTAATTATTATTTATTTTGGGGAAAGAGATCTGGAGAAGTTTTCCATTAATGGATTTTTTTGCCCCTTCTTCAAACAGAATTGAAAGAAAAGGAAACATGATGCAGAATCTGGAAGGGAGCTGGATGCACTGCAGGGTATGTTTATTTTCAGACAAGAGAAAGAGCATTAATTCATTCATATTTATGAAACTTCTGAATTCATTTGAACTCTGTCATAGGTACCTCATCAGCCAATCAAAATGAGAGTTCAGGGCATGGCCATTCTCATGGGCAGACTGGACCAGGGAAGATGGCCATCAGAAGCATGGCATGGATGGTGGTCATGGGAGATGGGATACATAACCTTACAGATGGACTAGCCATTGGTACATAAAAATTATTACAGATTAAAGGCATATTAAGTAATAAGTAATCATTTAAAAATTGTTTAAAATTATGTACACTCATTAGATAAATAATTTCGTTAAATAATAGTAGTAGTAGCCTAGTGATAGTAGTAGTAGTAAAAATAATATTAATTTAGACCCATAAGGTGGTGGTGTTTGAGGAGATTCCCCCCCTTTCATGTAAGGTCGCCGTGGTTTTGCCAAGTACAACATGTTCCTGGATCAACATCTTTTGTTGATCCTGGATCAACATTACTGTCCAAAAATATAGACTAAACCCAATCCCAATCCCTAAATCTAACCCTACCCATAATTTATTCCTAAAATCAGTGTGAAATGATAGCTGATTAACAAGGGTGTAGAAGCACCTAACCCTGATCGTAAGCCTAAAACAGATATTGCCTGAAAAGTTATCCCTCAATTCTGATTGGTTAATTGGAATGCTGTTCCAGGATCAACAAGGATGTTGATCCAGGAACATGTTGTACTTGGTGAAATCACGGTCACCTTTCATGTAAAGCGCTTTGAGTACCCAGAAAAGCACTATATAAATGTAACAAATGATTATTAATATTTTTATAAGCAAAACCATCTGAGAAACACTGATATAGGAACCAATGAAATATAACTGTTAATTATTAGTGCACCTTTAAAGCAACTGTATGTAAGTTTTTACCTTGAAATACCAGTTCCAAAATCATTTTCCTTCTTTCCACAATCCTTTGTTGAGGGAGTATGTAAATTTGGTGCGAGCGGGTACGAAATCCCGCGAAAAGGCGATTAATTGCTTTACGGCAGCAACAAATTCACGTGTACAGTAGCCTACTGTAATTACGACAGTGATATATTTACAACAGTGAATTCCACTCACTTAACTGCAGAGGGCTCCGAAGTCACAAAAAACAACAACACAAAACTACGTACGGTTGCTTTCATTTAGGAATAAAAACATTTTTAAAACAATTATGACACTTTAATCTTAATAAATGTAACTTACACTTAGAACAATTAAAACGTAATTTTCTTGTTCTCCTCCAGGTGTTGCATTTTCTCAGTCTGACGGGTGGACTCAGCACTACGATCGCTGTGTTCTGCCACGAGCTTCCTCATGAGTTAGGTATGATCGAGTCATTTCTATTATGTTCATTATGAATTATGAGTATTGCATATATACATTTCTTTGCTTGTGTCTGCAGGCGATTTGGCGGTGTTGTTGGCTACAGGCTGGCCTGTACGCAGACTGGCTGTGTTTAGCGTCATCTCTGCTCTGCTGGGCTTTGTTGGTGTTTTAACAGGAACTGCACTGGGAAACCAGTGGGCGACACACTCGCCTTGGATTCTCACCATCACTGCTGGGGTCTTCCTTTATGTTGCTCTTGCTGACATGGTAATAATCTTGATTGCCAAAATACAGTAATGTTAATTTATCTGACTTCATTTTTATTTTGAAAAGCTACTATATCCATAATAATCACACTGAATACAGTGTCTTTATATAATTTAAAGCTTCTGTTTCTCTCTAGATGCCTGAAATGCTCCATGGAGATGCTGGGTCTCTGAGCCCTCTAAAGCGCTTCCTCCTGCAGAGTCTGGGTCTGCTGATAGGGGGCGCCATCATGCTTTGCGTCGCCCTTTTTGAGGACCATATTGCTGTAAGCTTGGGAGAAATCTAAGGATATGAAGAAGACTATCTAAATGAAATCCTCAGGATGTCACACCAGAATTTCCATCCACGCAGCGGTATTATGCATTTACCTCATCCCATAATGAACTACTGCGTGGATATTCTGAAGAAAGTGCACTGGATGGATTGCTATAAAAAGAGATAGTGGGAGGAACTAGTATATACACATCCTTGGGCAACTTCTTTTCAACCTAAGCTGAATTTGATGTAAGAAAAACTTCTTACTGAATGATGACATCTACAGAAACTTCTAGGGCTCATCTATAAGAAGAAGAGTATTTCAGGCCTGAATGAGTTCAATGTGGTGTCGTCAGTACGTTTTTCATTTATCATATAAATGTTTCTACGTCTTGCAACTTTAAACAATTATTTTTTTTAAATGATGTATTGATGGTTGTTGTTAAAATTATAAAAATGAACCATCTTTATAACAACCATAATGTCATTGTTTCCTGAAAAAGAGCATTTATGAATTTATAGCCATAATGAAGTTATGGCTATTAGTTATAATTTTAGTTACAATTTCATAATTCTAACCTTGAAATAATTTCAAACAATTATTGCAAAGTAAGATTAAGGAGAAGTCTGATTTGGGTGATATAAATTCCCAAACATATAGAATTGCAAGAAAAGTTAGAATTGTCCGCTTTATTTTAGGTTTTTTATTCTAGAAATAAACTTCCATTTATTCAGATGATTTACTAAAGAGAAAAGAAAAACACCAATTAAAATATTAGCAGGGCAAGTATCAATCTGAACTACTGGCCAACAGAAAAAAAATAAAATAAACTGAGTCCTAAATTTAGTCTGTTTCAACATTTTGTAGTGATCAGAGCAACAAAAGAAAGACACACCACAACAACTTGTATGTAGCAATAGCATTTTATTTCAACATTACCAATTCTAAGCCACGATACTAAATGACAAGACCTACTGGCTGCAGCAGTTCATGAACCTGACTAACAAAAACATGGGATATTTTTTTTATCTTTAAAGTCAGAGAGACCAATTCATTTTTAATAAGCTCAAATTAAAAATGATTATGTTCTTTCTTACTTAAATACATGTACAGAGTTTCACATCTGTTAGTAACAAGTAACCATTCACAAGCTCATACTATGAATTAACAAGGCAAAGTGCTTTCAGGATTGCATTGTCACATAAGGAAATGAATGGCTTGAGGTCTTTTTGTGGGGTTGAAAGGGTGAGGGTTCGCCATCCTTAGGTCTAGGAGGGGGTCACGTGACCGTCCTAACAGATTCAGGCAGAATACACCGAATTCGCCCCGTGCCCCCAGGTCCAAAATGGATATGTACAGAGGTACAAAGTTGGCAGGGAGGCGGATAGCTAACACGGATTAGCCAGTGACCGGAGTAGTGTTTTTGGAAGGGCGTAAGGCTAGGGAACTCTACATACCCCATATTTTAGTACAGAATGAATGTGCATAACTCAAACCAACCAACCCCCTTTCAAACCTCCACCACCAGTAGAAAATTGAGTTGTTGCTTCAGTACCAAAGTCATACAACCATCCACGCACTCTACTGAACTCGACCAGACACACGTACATACCATGAAAAGCTGTAAACTTGAGTTCAGAGCGCTCACAGTGAACATTTAGAAGTGAGAGAAAGTGAAAGAGACAAAGACACGGAGGGAAAAACGAGCACGAATGTAAATGCCAGCTAGTATAGGCTGATATTTTTCCCTGTTTTGTCAAAATAAAGCAAAGAAAGGAGCGATAGAGGCAAGACACATGTGACATCATTTGAAATATAATGGGGAGAAAGTTGGATTCGAAAAAAAAAATAAAAGAAATCATAATACAGTCTGGCTTCACATTCCAGTGGTACTCTGTTGTGTACACACTTATGTGTATCACACAAATATCATGTTACACACACACACACAGTCAAGTACGCTAACTGTCATCTTATATCACCGATTGTTTAAGTTATATATCTGTTCATATACATATATATTTCCATTTGTCATCAACAATTGGAGGAGTTTTCAATGCAACAAACTGTAACACAGAGGTAGGATAATGCTACTTAAAATGCCTCACGTTTCGCTAATTTTAAACCATTGTGTCGGCGATGGGTCAGGCTTTAAGCGGAGCGGCAGGTGTTTTACGCAAGCAAGTGGTGATCTTATTGGTTGATACGGAATCGGTGTGATGTCGTAGACCCTGCAATGGTCCCAGGCTTCTGCTGGTGATGGTATCTCCTACACGTTTAACTTAAAGACAGGATAAGAATATTTGCAGATATGTCGATGAGGTATACAGGGTTGATATGACCCCTGTTTGTTAGCTGAGAACGGCTTGGCAGTTCAATACTCAAGTAAATAGTGCAGTTTTAAAGTCAGGGTCACATTTCCTTCACGTCATAATGCTTTTCAAATACTTGGCATGTTCAAGCAGAGCTCGGAAGCAGTGACAGTAACCCTGTTTTTGCAGGAATCCATCTCAGCTGCTCGGTTCTGCGTTTCGGCGATGGAAACACAGCCACGGTGTAGTATTTTAGCTTCTTTTTTTCGTAACAGCAATCTTTTGGAAAGTCTTAAAGACGGCGGGTCCTAGTGAAACTGGATTCAAACATGGGACACAGGAGGGCCGCTCGATTAAAGCCAGTCACTTCGAAATGGCCAAATCCTGCACGCATCCAATTCACATTCAGTTTGACTGAAATAAGGCTCTCTCAGCACTGAAATCTCTTATGTTGGATTCAGTTACAAGAAGAGGGTGTTAACCAAAGGTGCCACAGATTACATAGCCAGGCCAAAAGCAGCCAGAGTCAACAAATCTTTAGAAATATACAATTGTCTCGTCTTGATACTTGTATTGCTTGTTCTTGAATGCATTTCTTGTTCTCTGCCATCTCTACAGAGACATACATTGGTCCTATGTTGTGAAATACTAGATTACTTTATTCAGTGTGCTCCCTGTGATAATCAAATATGAAATCATTGATTGCTTGAAGCCAAAATGAAGGACCTTAAAGTAAGTTACAACTTAAGGTTTTCTGAAGATTATTATATGACTTCTGGTATTGGTTGTCAATGGTACTTCTGTTTTGAACAATGAAATTCAAAAGGAATGTTTCTTTATGATACAGGTTTCATTTTTTTGTTTATTATTTAAAACGTACGAAGACATTTAATGACAAATATTGGGATCTTGATGTCAGACCCCCCCCCAAAAAAAACGATCCAAAGATAAGCAATGAAACGTTCTTTGGTACCGCATAACATGTGGCCCAAAGTTCAACTGTTGTGTGGGGAGAAATAAAACCCTGCATATTTCACTGCTGACAACAACAACAACATTCAATATATCATTTCCAAATAGAACCATCACATCTCTAATCCAAAAAAAAAAAAAAAAGAACTGTAATTCTAGGCAATGCGCTTCGCTTTTGGTATCAAATCAATTGATTAGAGGTAAATGAACAGGTCTAAACACCCCCAACACACACACACACACACACACACATAAATGCTTAACATGCCACGAAAGCATACTGACTTTAAGTGGCGCTGGAGAAGGTACATGGAAAACGGCAATCTCTCACCTATCAACCGATGAGCAAACAGAAATGCCATCTTTCCAGTAAGCAAGAAGTATTGATAAGGCTTTGACACCTATCACAGTTTCCACCAAGTCCATTGTACATTCCACAAGAAAGTGCCACTTATGGAGGCAAAGCAGGAAGGAGTTTAAATTTGTACAATCCAAAAAGAAATAAATAAGTGAAATAAAATACCCTGCTTAAAGAAAAAAAAAACAACAACATGATGGATGTTGTTAAGAGGGCATTTTCCTCCATTAAGGATACTATGGCGCACAAAAAAAAAGTTATTGCACTTCAGTCCATTTTAGGTGGATACTTTGACGTCGATACAACATAGAGAAAAGGAGTCATGCCAACATTCTACAAGACACTGGGTTACAACTAATCTCCAATGCATTACCACACAAAAACGACACGGCACACGTCTACTTCACACGTTGTAAAACTAAACACGTTTTGTTCCATAAAGAGTTTGAACAGGTCACTAGCTAGAACCGATCAAATGTTTCGCCGTTATGGTTTCATTCAATTTACAAAAGTTAATTATTCATCTGCGGTGTCGTGACAAATTTGATCGTGAGTTTTGACGGCTCAAAACGCAACCACGTGGATGGTGGCTATTTTTGAAACTTACAACAGTTGTTCATTCATAAGGCTCACTAAAGGTGTTAATGGAAGACCATACCCTGTGGCATGTACTTGATAACAAAAGGCACAATCCCACATACTCATCACAAAGTGTAGTACTTTAAAGAGATGATGATGCTTACAGACTCCAAAGAAATAGCAGCATGCCACGCAAAGCAGTCATTTTCTCAACCGAAGCCAACAAGCAAGTAAGGTCAGTGTTAGATTTACAGATGAAGGTCCGTGATCGGTCATTGAAGCTCTTGGGCTATCTCTGGTGGCACTATGCAACTCTGCGAGATAAAAGGAAGTATTCCTGCATAGCTTTTTTTTTTCTTTTTTTTTTTTTTAAATATGAAAATGTTTTTTTAAAGGGATCCCTACGTGCCCTGTCAGGTCAGCCACTCAGTCAGGCTCCGGTGGTTTTCTAACTAGCCTTATGAAAACAAGCTGCTGGCGAGAACAAAAAGCAGCTATTTTTGATTAAATCATTCGCTTGCAGATTTAAAATTTTAACTATTAGCGCTTACCGAGTAGAAACATGAAGTAACACTAAGCCAGGGTGAAGGACATCATCAAGTTCAAGAGCAGCCCTTGAAAAAGCCAATGCTTTCCATTTCAAGGCCTCAGAATGTGACCTTAGGATTCCAGTTGCACGGCGCATGCGTAGCTAAAAGCACACCCAAATTTCATGTACCAGTATATATAGCACGATAGATTTTAAGGACAGCTAGTTTACGAGGTAAGATTGCCACGTCAAGGCAATTCCGACCACACTTCTTGAGGAATTATGTACAGCACATCTTCTTGTGCTCTTGTTATTTACTTTGTTAGAAATATTTGCATTTATAACATCACACAAGTATTTACTACCTAACTGTTTCAACTAAGACACAGAAAAATGGGGAGAAAATGTATCTACTCTGTCCTGTATAAAATTATTTAGCATTGGATAATACATACTATTTTTCTTAGATGTATTGCCAGATCACCATTCACTACCCGTGTTCCCATTCTAATTTTTTCTGCAAATTGGTGTTTTTATAAATCAGTACTTTAAATGCTTCATTTAGGAGAACCTAAATCAGATTTTTGCTTAATGAGTAAAGTTTATTTAGCTGTTCCAAAATAAATTTTACAGCTAAATATTTGAAACAAATGTATTAAAAAAAAGACTTTTTTTTTTCTTTCTATGTTCTAGTGCAAAAACTCTTAATAAATTCCATGAAAATTATTATTTTGAGGCCAGAAGCCATTATGGTACATCTTTCAGCAAAACAACCTATAGAACAGTGTGCTTCTTATGAATCTCATCGAAACGAGATCCCAAGTTAATGACAAAATCTCTCAAGTGCTGCGACTGCTGAACTATACCGTTTCCTCTTAAGGCAAAAAGTAGGGAGATAGACATAGATTAAATGAAACGGGTGTTTTGAGTATTGCCTTAAATGGATGCGTCTTCAAGTAGTAGGGACGCTGAGGTCCACTGAGGTAAATCAGACATTCTATCAGCCATTAATACCTTTGCGAGAAAAAAAATTATATATATGCCAGGATGGACATACAATAAGGACACTGAGTTAGCTACAATTAATCTGCTTTCCAACAAAATGGTTACAATTATTAGACGACTCTAGTTTCCAACTGCCTGCATGTAATTGCAACCATTATAACTTGGTCAACAGGCAATGAAAGCTGGCCCTTCATAGCAAAGTTGTGTAAAAACAAACAAAAAACAAGCTCACAATTTGCTGATCCAGAATAAAACAAGAAAAGCTATGTAAATGTGTCATTTTGGTAAATGTCAAATTTGCCCTTCGGTTAATAATGAAATGAAGGCGTTTCGTAATTCCATTGCTTAGAAATAAACCTCAAATTATCAATGGTTTGTGGGAACTATCGATTACAATGGAACATTTATAAAATATCATTTTTGAATTAGCCGTTGACTGAATGACTCAAATCCGGCTACTCCATTTATAAGGGCAAATGCTAAGTTATGGCTTAGCCATAAAAGCTTTCAGATGGAGGTGATCTCCACCAAGGGCTAACCAGCCCATCAGTATAGCTTAGTATATACTGAAATTTTTAGACCGTCTGATTGTGATTACTGGCATTTTAAAATAACTAACACTATGTGGATCTCCAAAAAATATAATGGGCACAGTAGCTTATCTTAGCTTGGACTTCATTCGTTTTCTTTTTTGGTAATGGTCTTGACACACTCAAAAACTGAACCCAAGGAATCATTCATTCACATTTTTACAAACGTATCAAAATGAGAAAGGAAAAAGAAAAGTTATGGCACTAAATGATTTAGGGAGGAAACCCCCCTTATCAGTTATCAGTACTCTACCCTACAAAAAAGTCTTGCCTCTTTGTGACCGGTTCCCTTATTGTTCGTACACAGAACACCTAATGCACCAACTCTATTAAAAGTTCTGAAAGGGCTCCTGTTGTCAAGCTAATTATTTAATCGCTAACTACTGCATACAAGTTTTTCACCAACATCGAAGCAAGCTGCTACCATCATGGCATACATTCGACAAAACAATTCCAACGATTTTAGTGCAATGCCAATAAGACAACGAGAAATTTGAGGAATTAAAACAAGTACGTTTTAGTTTGTTTTGGCTGGATAAGAATTATTTTCGCTAATAAATAGACAAAGATCACCTCTAAAAAATTAGCTCCAAGATACAATCGAAAGCAGCACTTTTTCTTGCACCAAAATGAAATGTATTACTAATCACAGGCTCCACGGGCACTTGTTTTTCGAACTCAACTACATGTGGTACGACTAGCTAGACTAAATTTATAAATATTTTTTATTTTTTTTTACAACTACAAGCAGTATAACTGGCAGTGCAAATAACTTTAAGCTCTCATCAACTTGCACTTCATTATCGTACCCTGTTGCTGTCTACACACGCACTGATTCTCTCCACCAAACCACAGCAAAAGTTATTGTACGTGATAAAGTCAAGCTCAAGTACAGGTAAATAAGCTTGAATTAAACTCCCATGAGGGACTTCCTCTTAGTCATGTAGCCCACTTAGAAATATTTCCCAGGCAAAACACTGCGACATAACTTGACTAATCTGATTAGCACACATGCACATTTGTACTCTTGCAAGTAGAAGTCAGATATTTGCCCATTTACAGCTTGTGACAGATGCAAAAGCGTATTTTTTTTCATCCTTTTTTGTTACTGAACAAGCAAGTGCTTTATATCAGGTCTGCGTGGAGTGGAGAAACTTGTTTAAGCAGCCAAAACCTGTCATTACAAAGAGGAAGAGGTAATTTCGTGAATCAGTATAAATATGCTCTCCACACAGCCTTTAAACATCTAACATTACTATTTCGTTTGTCTACACACCTTCATTCACCCATAAAATATCAGTTAATGTTACAATACTTCAAAGCTACTCTATCTAAATCACTAAAATCCTGATATACTGTAATGAAAGCAATAGTATTGGTATAATTGAGAACAAGTCCACATTTCACGCCTGAAAGTATGCTTGAATTAAGAGAGATAGATTTGTATAGCTCTTCCTAATTGAAAAAAAAAATTGACGCTTTTGCGCGTTTATGAAAAAATGAAATCTATGGCAAAATTAAAAGCCCTTTCAACTGATTGTCTCATTACTGACTGAGCATATATTGCCTGTTTGTTGTGCACAAACAAAAAAAGGGATGTTTCAAACACTCATTCACAATGTTCTTATTTTGTGTTTAGATGCAAAAAACCTAATGGAAGCACAACCTTAACTTTGTTAATCAATTCACCTTTGGCAATAAGGAAGCATTTTAAAAAGAGCAGGGGTGAATGTTATTTCAGTACTTCAATTAAAAAGATAATGCCTTTTTGGATATCTATTAGTTTCTATTAAAATGGTAATTAGAAATTGCTCGACTTTGGTCATACCCATGACTGCTCCCCAACACCATAAACAAAAATAAAAAAGGTCCAGTCAGCATAAACACTCGACATATACACACTCCCCAAAGTCTAAAACAACCCAAGTGGGTTCTGATATATGAATCACACGTTCATCTATTCAGGTGATGAATTCATAACGGATTTTAGTGAAATACTCATGTTTCACTGGTCGAAGCACCATTTCGACGACTTTAAGGGAGCGCATATGGTGTGTTTAACTGACTGGACCGTAGGTAGGCAAAACTAAATTCAGTAGGCACTGTGAAAGCAACTCCACACTAAATATTATAGCAAAGCAGTAGATTTAATTTAAGAAATTTTATGAGGCCCAAAAAGCAAAACAAATAAAACCAAAGGTCCCAAGGAGCAAGTACTGTTTATGACGTTTGCATCTGTAATGATGTTTGTGCTTTCTATACTTCCTTAGTGTAGCATATTCAAAATGTTGTTTTAACGGCCAAAATCATGACACTTTTAACTCCTCTTTCTTCTGCCCACCTACAAACAGTGATCTGGACTACCTAATACCTACATTGTAAACCTAATATGAATTTTCAACCTCAAAACCCATCCAAACACTATCCCTTTTCTCTCTAACAAGTAAACAAGCATTATATATCAGACCCCTCTCTCAGGAGGTCATTGGTCTTTTGGCTTAAGGTAGTATGGTTTCCCTTCTGTTCTGATTCTGTTAGGTTGTTTGTTTTTCCTGATCTGTGCTAAATCAGATTGCAGCTCACATAAAAACCTGGAAACGTAATAATCAAGTATGGGATGAAAAACTTGGACTGTTGCGCAAAAGTGGATGTCACACATACACGTGCACGCACACACACAAACACACACAAGACCACTATCAAATACATGGTCCCGCAAATTCATGCAAATCTAGTGTAACCCGTTTAAATTGTTCCTCAGGGCAGGCTGTAAATTCCTATGCAAGGCCACAGCGTCACGCAAATTGGAGGCATGATATGGAAACCCATCCATTATCACTGTTACCATGGAGACACACGGCTGCATAATTCTAACATGAACCGAGTCGAATCGACTGCAAATGGAGAAGAAATAAAGGACTGACTCGCCAGTGATGGATACTGGTTCGAATAGATGGCTTAGATTCAAATTTTAGACTCGCACTGAATGGACAGCATCTAAAATGGGAGTCAGGGGTGGGAGGAAAAGGAAGCGGCAGAAAATAAATAGAAATAAATAGCTAAATTCGTCCTCTCGTGTTCACTCTCTACTGAGATGTGAAGAAAAGCTTTGATACTGGCACAGGAGGGATGTGTGGCTGTAGTTGCATATAGGTTTATCTAGGTGTGTAGAGAGGACCAAACCAAGCGACC